AGAGCGTCTCTTAAACCCCTCAATTTATTTAATTGTGGTTTTAATAAAGATTTCTTTCTTTCAACCGAATTTTTTTTTAATTCCGTATACATAAGGTTTTAAATTTTAATAATCGGTACCTCCGCTAATTCGGTACACGATTTAAAATTTACTATTTCCAGTAAGCAAAATACTCTGTGATGTATTTCATGCAGAAATTATATTGATCGGAATCGATTTTTCCTAGTAAAATTGATCAAAACAGCTACTTTGACAGATTCGTAAACAAAAGTTAATTCTCGGTTTTAAAAATCTTGCAAAAATAAAAAAAAATATTTTTGAAACGTTATTTGAGTTAAATTAATCTGATTTGAAGCAAATATTACTTATAGAATAAAATGTATACAAAAATTTCTTAACTACGGTGTCTTGTTTTTCTGACATATTAATCGATTTATTGACAGTCGACCTACAGCCGAATGTGTTCAGAGTTAAATATGGTGAGGCAGACGATAAAGTTTGTTTTTGCCGTGAGCTTTTAATGCTAGATTTATTGGCTTGTACATCCATACTTCAGAAAGTCGGCACGTAATCACACATACAAAAACAAATCAAAATATTCAGAGTCGTTAGGTTGTAATAAGCTTTACAATATATGATTAGGAAATATAGTTTTACTTGATAACAATAATTCCTAAGAATTATCACACTGAAAACGAATTTTAATAGATTTAAAAACTTACATCATTATAAATTATTACAAATTATTCAATTTGAATTTTTTTAAAAATTCAAACAAATCTTGTAAAAATTCATTTTTTGTAGAAAAATTTTTTTCTTCAGATAATATTGCCTTTAATATATATTATTCATAAAAGCAAATAAAAACTCCTCTAATTAAATACTGTCTTAGTTTTATTGCGTTTTTTTATCTTTTTTTTTTTATTCAGGACAGATTTTCGGTAAAACGGGGTCCGATTTTTCAAAAAAATCGGTGATTCAAATTCTTCAAAGAATTCTGCTTTTAACTAATATAGTCACTAAAAAGTATCCCGATGTATTTGTTTGTCATAAAAGTAAGGGGCAGAACCACATGTAAAAAATAATTTTACTAAGGTTTTATAATAAAAAATTGCAAAATTAATTTAATTCATTTATGAATAAGTCCTGAAAATTTAATTAAAATCTGACAATTATTTGATTTTTGAAAGAATTTCCAAATTAATATCTGTCATCGTAAAAAAAGAGGCTAGAATTTGCTGTAGTATAACCACTGACTCAAAAAAAAAAAAACAAGTTATTTAATCAAAATTTCAAATGATCTAAAAAGGAGTAGAAAATTCCGTTAAATAATGAAAATACTTTGATCCTTCCTAACAAAGATTTTGACGATAAAACTATTTTTTCATAACGTTTGGAGCATGTTTTTTCATCAAGCAAGATATGCTGCTTTTTTAGCTTTTTCGTTTAGGTACCTAAAATAAAAAATTCAACATTATTTCATTTTGTCTCAGCTATAATATCAGTAAAATATCTGGAACAATGAAGTAATTTTTCGCCCAAAACTCATATACTTATTATTATCATTATCGTCAAATGTCGTTTTGCAATTTTCATCATTGAACAGCTTTGGAATCGTTTCGCTTGCTTCTTTTTTTATTTTTATTTCTCTTCTTCGGTTATCTCCCTTCTCTTTCATTCTCTATTCTCTCTCGCCACGCGAAAGTATTGAAAAATCCAAATGAACACAAACAAATTTACAATTACAACCGAAAAATAAAAACAAAGTAAACGACAAGAGAATTTAATTAGGTTAGCAATGCTAGATATTTCGACATCCGGGTTACAGACCGGTGTAAGACGAATAATGGCCACGGGCCACGGAAAGACCTTCATTAATCCGAATTCTGTATTTGTTTACCGTCTCCAGCAGCCGACAACGTCGAAACAAGACAAGACTTCACCAGCAATATTCTTCTTGGAAGCCGATAGGCGGCAGAGGTGGGGGTGAGGGGGGAATGCAATAATGTTATGGCATTTGTTGTTTGCAGCTGTACAAATAAATGTGTTTGGATATGGCTGGGAATTTCGTTTTGTTCCACCGACGGAAGAGGGCGCTGGCCGTCGAAGCGATCGCTGCCAAGTGAATCAATTTTACTGACTGGATTCTTCGTTTAGGCCCACCTCCTCCCATTCATTTTTCTTATTCTGTTCCCACTTCTTCAACCTGCTTCCTCAAGAATCCACTTCCCTTCACCTCTCTCTCTCTCTCTCTCTCTCTTTCTCTCTCTCTCTCTCCCCTCTTTTTCCTTTCTACTATTTACTGAGTTTAGCTTAGTTTGGCACAAGGCCAGGTTGGGAGATAGTGGGGATAAGAAAATTGCTTTACGTTAATCATCCAGTCGGGAAATACTACCTTGAAAATCAGCATTTGAGATCATGATTTTTGGGCGCTTGAACATCAATCAATGACACAAGTATTATTTCTTTGTGTATCTTTTGATATAATTTCTGAATACAATTCGGTAATTAAATGCAGTCAAGGTTGATTAAGGAAGCAACAGCTATTTTGTTGTTGTTGCTACTACTGCCTTATCATATAAAATACTTATGGGAAAAAAAAGAGTTTGTTATAGTGCTCAATTATCTATGACTGCACTAGTACGGCACCCCAATTCATCTTGATCGAGAGATTCAAAGTATTCTGACCTTAGTCAACTGCTGATCCCGCAAGAATGGCGCTATCTCCCCCAAACCTGTAATGAAAGTCCACCCGGCATAGTTGCAATATGACCTACAGGCTGGCTCTGTGGGTACGGAAGAAACTTAAAATGTGCCTGTTCAGACGTCTGCAACAAGGACTCGCAAACCATTCTTGCACACTATTATACACGGAAACAAGCAACCAACCACTGCACACACAGAAACACACGCACAAATACACACACACACACACGCACAAATACACACACACACACATATGTATGTGTGTGTGTGTGTGTGTGTGTGTGTGTGTGTGTGTGTGTGTGTTGTTGTTATAGCAATTTACCCACGCACGCAGCTATAAATAGGAGCAGGTACTGCCTTTTAGTGACGGAAGTTTCCAGCAGTCAGCTCTGAGAGTCGAACCGAACATTCTTGCTGTAACATTCTCGTTTGTATATGTTTGTATTACTGTTTCTGATAATATATTTGTTTAACTCAATTCATCTCTTGTGTCTTTATTTCTGGTGCTAATATATATATGATAAATTTATTTCAAAAATAAAAAGACAAGCACCCGAATTCCAGCTGCGCTCAACATGCGAAGACTCTGGATAAATAATCCTACTAGTATTCAAAAGCACAAAACAAAATACATTTCAAACAGTCAAAACATGAAAAGAAATTAACAATACCAAAACACACCACACACTTGAAAAGTTTATTTTATATTTATCCCAACGTTTCAGCCGTTGTACCCTCCGGCCTTCTTCAGGTGGTTGAAATGTCGAATTGAACTCTTTATTTCGCTCGCTTGGGTAGACTGTTCTAGTTCCACGTGCTTATGGACACGTGGCACAGTGGATAAAGGCGTCGGTTAGATCCAGTGACAGGACCCAAAGAGTTGTAAGTTCAATACCTGGTTAAGGCGATTGAGAACTTGGAGAGGCGAATTAACAGGAGATAAATGACATCCATCAGACATGGCACGTGGAACTAGAACAGTCTACTCCAGCGAGCGAAATAAAGGGTTCAGTTCGACATTCCAACCAACTGAAAAAGGCCGGAACGTACAACAGTCGAAACGTTGTGATAAATATGGCAACAAAGATGAGGACGATAGTCCGAACAATGCAAATAGTATTAATCATGTTTTTTCGTCCGTGTTTGAAGAAGACTTTGTTTTGAAATTCATCAGAATTGGTCGGTAAGCAAAGTCTGAATGAGTTCTGGAGAAATGCGGACACCGCAAGTCAGTGGGTTTGATCGCTGCCAAAGCTGCACGGTGAACCGATTCTTTTTGAGTCGTTAGTTCTCGAGACCGGGTTTCTTCAAGGTTTGAAGAGAGAGGCTTCATGGACAATGTCACGCCAACGTGATCGGTCGACAGCACATTAATCTGGCTCCGTGGCTCAGATCTTGCACATGTGAAGGTTAGCTTCGAATGTCTTTGCACAGTTTCTTTGGTCGGCCTTGATGTCTTCTGCCAACCAGAAGCTCTCTGTACAATAGGCGTCTAGAAATGCGGTTACTCCAGCCGGATGACGTGGCCAATCCATCGGATTTCATTAGTAAACATGCAAAATGTGAATACATTTTTGGACATCCCATATATATATATATATATATATATATATATATATATATATATATATATATATATATATATATATATATATATATATATAGTGTGTGTGTGTGTGTTTTTATACAATATATGTGCGTATGTCTAAATATACACATCCGTATATGTACTTTAAAAAAAAACCCTTATGTTGTCGTCACGACTGCCTGCTGACTTTAAATATAATAAAAGATAAAACAAATGGGCAATTTAATAATGAATTTGGCTCCCTGTTGGCGTTCAGAGACATGTTCATCAACATTGTGTTCATGAAAATATCGACTTTGATGGCAAAATGTTTTATCGAATCGGCAAACTGATGACATCTGATGTGGTGGGGGTGGTTGAACTGGCCGCCAGCAAAGCTCCCAGTGACGTTCCCTTCTGCTGACATTTCATGTTTTAAGCTGCAAAAATAACGAAGTCGTATTTACGTAATGTAATAATTTAAAAGTCACGTCTTCAACTCAGTGGAATTGTCGTGATATCTGTTGGGTAGAAGTAAATTAAATAGAGAGATACAAATGATGGTGAGATGGAAAGAGATGGTGAGATGGGAGAGAATAATTTGAATAGATTTGAATCCAGAGAGTGAGAGAAACTGAACAGGTTTGTATATATATATATATATATATATATATATATATATATATATATATATATATATATATAAAAAGCTTTAAAGAGGGAAGCGTTAAATATGTTTAAACAGTGAGAATGAGATAGAGAAACTGAATAGGAAAGAGAGTAGAGAGAAAAGGGGTAAAAGTTGAATATATTTAGGTATGGAGAGAAAGAGAGTGAGTGAGTGAGTGAGTGAGTGAGAAGAGAAGAGATAAGTTGAGACTTTGGACAAACAGAGGGAAGGGCGTAAAATGAGGGTTTGAGCTTTGAAAGGAGAATGATAGAAAGTAAAGTAAGAAAGAGAAGTTGTCCATATAAATATGGATGTAAAATGATACAGTTTGTTTGAGAGAAGAGAGAGAGGGGGGGAGAAGAGAGAGAAGGATAAATCTACCTTTAGTTTTGAGGCTGAGAGAGAGAAAGAAGCTGAATGTTTGGAAGAAGAGATATATATTCTGCATATGTGTTTGTGTCAAAAGAGAGAGAATGAGAGAGGGTTAGTGAGAGAGAGAAGAGAGAGGGTTAGTGAGAAAGAGAATGAGTGGAAAAGAAAGAATAAAAGAATTGGTTTGGAAAGATATTAATTATTTACAAAATCCTATTTTAAGATCTCCTAAACTGTCTTTCCATTAATCTCTTACTTTTATCTATATATTTTAAATTTATTTTTAAACCCTTTTTTATTTCTCTTTTAATTTTAAATTAATATTTTATTCTTCATATTAACGCCAAATTAATGTCATAAGGTTAATATTCGTGTTTAATTTTATAAACATTCTTCCCTTTAAGACAAATACCTTCCACCCTCATCTGACTTCTGTCTTATGCCTTTCGTCTGACTGAAACATTGAAATTAGAGGAATTGGAAATTTGGTGGAGATCTGAAGCTAAGATAGACCAACATAGAATACATAAAGACACTGAGGTTAGTGCTGGAGATTTGGGGAGACCTGTTGTCACTTGTTCCCGATCGACTTGTGTAAAAGTCAATTAACTACTTGAAAAAAAAAAATGATGATGAAAGCATGAGAAAGTCGGTCAATACCAAAACCTTGCCGAAGAGCTGCGGAAATTGTTACTATAAAAGTCAAGCTGATGACCATCGTCATTACATCAAAAGTAAAGATCCCAAAGACATTGTCTCTGAATAATAATAAAGAGCTGAGGAACTATTTAAACGACTTTTTTGTAAGCAGTGAAAAACAGTATGGGTTGCTCTAGAGGGTTGTGAAGTTTTACCATATTTTGACCATTAGTGATGAGCACACCAAGGAATATCAGTAAATGATGATGGGGAGTAAAAGGGGATTTTTAGGCAGAAGGCTATGGAATGACTCTTGGGCCTTGTAAAAATAAATAAATAAATAAAAGTATTTAGGCATTAATTATTCATCCAAACAAATTTGATTAAAATCAGCAATACGCGTGCGCGAACAAACACAAACACGCACACACAAACACACACACACACACACACATAAACACACACACGCGCGCGCGCGAGGTACATGTTAAAAGTAATACCTTCTATTTTTATTTACATCAAAACTGCAATTGATACAAGGAGCAGGGTAACACTTTCGGGTAGAACAAGTTGTCAACTAGAAAATACTGTTGTTCCACATCTTCATCGCCATTGACGCTACATTTTCACCAGCACTTGATAACAAACTTCGGCTATCGGTTGATAGCAGTGGTGAGCCAGCGTCTAACTGTACTCACATCCACAATTTGGTCTCCATAAACATTCAGCAGACTCCGACCAAATTAATGCAATTTTGTCCGCATGGATAAATTCGCTGGCACAAATCTGCTTCGTATGTACTTTAATGTTAAACATCATTTTGCTAGATTGCCGCTCAACCCGTAACCAGTAAGAAATCAAAATATAAGTAACGAAAATCTTGGTCAACCAGCCAAATGAAATGTAAGACGTTTTGCTAGCATCGTCGTAGTAAAGCCAACGTAAATATTGATATTTTTATCAAAGATACAATCTCGTAAAGGACATTTAAATTGCTAAACAATGTCGACCTTTTGCAAGATGCCAGTTGGCGGAGAAGAATTGTTTTGGATAACTAGGTTGGTTGTATTAAATTTAGTATAGTATATAATTAATTCTATCATTTTTTTTTTACTTGGATCAATAGGGGATATATTAGATTTATGAGTTTTTTTAAAAAAAATTCCTCCTGTTTATATTTGGAATGCATTTGATAAGTTTATTTGATGATGTACTGTATTCATTTTTATTTATGTTAATATTCCTAATAGCTTGTCTATTTTGTTCATCAACAATGTAATTAGGGAAGTCATTATTAACGAAGATTTGTTTAATAATTTTTAATTCAGTGTAGAAAATCTTTTCTTGCTGAAGAACAAATTTCTTTAACAATTTTCTAAGCCTATCAAGAAATTAATCCTTGAACTCGAAAGGAACACAACGAAAATTCCAAAGTTATTTAACCAAATCTGTTTGAATGAAAATATGCCTAAATATGCACAATATATATATATATATATATATATATATATATATATATATATATATATATATATTTTTAAATCAATTAATTTATAATATATATATATATATATATATATATATATATATATATATATATATATATATATATATATATATATATATATATTTAAATTAATTGATTTAAAATATGTTTAAAATATGTTTTTTTTTACACAGTTCCAACCATGGTTGAACTGTGTAGCGAAAAAAAAAACATTTTAAATCAATTAATTTATAATATTAATGCTCTGTAAATTTACATTGAGCACTATTTTGTAAAAATAAAATATCTATAAGAACACCGGATTTTATATCTTACTGTTCTTTCTTTTTATTTATATACATATATATATATATATATATATATATATATATACATATATATATATATATATATGAGCATTTCCACCTAAGCAAGGCGGGACAGTCACTAGCACACAGGGTGTTATAGAAAGTAAAAGTGGGGGAGACGACTGTGTATAGAGGGGATTGCGGAAAGGATAAAACAAGAACGGGGATCAAGACAACAGAAAATGGCGACTGACGTTGCATTTAAATTTTTGAAGATTGTAGTTATTAGGAAAGGAAGTAAGAGGAAGGGAGTTCGACTGTCGGGACGCGCGAAAAAGAAACTGCTGGAGTAGAAGCGGCGGTTACATTCAACTATTTCAACAGTAAAACGGTGGGACCTAGATGCCAATCTAGTAGCACGTTTAAATTCATGTAGTCGGGGCACCAGGGGAGATAGCTCGTCAGAGCAGTATATAAAGTTTGTCACTTAGCTGCCTGATGTTATCTTCAGCATCCTGACTACGAAGCTCTGGGGTCGGTATGGTGAAGGTAACATCAATCTGCTAAGTAACAAACTTTTACTCATATTAATTCTCTCCCCACCCTCTCTCTCTCTCTCTCTCTCTATATATATATATATATATATATATATATATGATATTGATTTGATGTTGCATTGAAGCTTACAGTCAATTCTCCCAGAATGTAACTTGGCATTTCTAATTAATGAGGTTAAGCAACATTCAGTCTCACCAAATACTTAATTGGACGACCGCTTAGGGAGACCAGTTTCTGTAAGCATTTTGTGTGCCAGTCGAAAGGTAATAGTAAATAATAGATCAAAGATGGTTCATTGAATGTGATTCTGCTCAGAGACGACCTCTTAATATTTTTTCTCTTAATTTTGGACAGCTTATTAAAGATTCTGCACTGACCTACTCGAACTAATATCCACATCTTGGTTATTTTAGTCCTCATGTATCAACAGTTGGACGGTCTTGACTTCTTCAGGTACCACTTCACGGTCTGCAAATTTTGAACTGAACCCTTTCTTCAGTTGACGATGTAATTTGTTTTCTTCCACTGATTTATATAATTTATGATACTACCCAACCCCCAGATCAAACGTTACGACTCTTAGGTAAATAGATCCGCTTAACCAATGCAGGGTAACCGCAAAGTCCGTGTGCCCTTTAAAATATTTGTAGCATTAAACAGACATCACCGTTTTTAATTCGATCTCAACCGGCCTACAAATCGAACGTCTTATTAACGAAAATATGCCTCCCGAATTTCGATTGAGTTTAATTTCACTGTTTTTTTTAAAAAAAAGGATGTTTGTTGAAATACACGTATAAATATACAAAGAAAAAATATCACTGAGGCCAAAAGAAACTGTGGAGAGTCATAATCTCTCATTTCAAGAAGAAATTAATCACATAGAAAAAGGAGAAAAATTTGCTTTTGCCGTAAGCCCCTAATACACATGATAGTTTTACACAAGGTTATAATGTGAAGACCCATTTGCTTAATTACGGCCCCTAATACACATGATAGTTTTACACAAGGTTATAATGTGAAGACCCATTTGCTTAATTACGGCCCCTAATACACATGATAGTTTTACACAAGGTTATAATGTGAAGACCCACACACGCACATGCAGGTGATGAGAGTAATTGTCCAATTCCGCCGACATTTTCTTCTTTTTGGAACGCCTCGAGCATTAGAGATTGACCCTGACTCCCTTTGCTTTAAATACAGTGGAGAAAGAGCAGCTCAGGGAATACCCGCCAACCACTGGTCTACACTTTGGTTATTTTCCATCCCGGGACAAAAAGTCCGATAAACGATGAATATTTATTAAGATTTGCTAAGTTTGACACAAGAACACAACTTAGCCTCAAGAACTCAGTCGAAGAAAACTGGCTGGCCATATTCAGTGCCTCAAAAACCAAACTTGCAACGTTCCATCTTCATCATCAAGCAGGCCCTGGATTTCCTTTCCGTCTGTCGTAATGAACGCATATTCCCTCAAGAAGGTCCCTTGCCATGAACGTCTATGGGACAAGCTTACTGCAGACCTCAAGTGGTATCTATATCTATAATTCTCAAAATGTGTGCGTGTGTATGTGTGTGACCGGGATGCGTTTTCACAGGTTTTATCCGATTTCGATGATTTTTTTTTTTTTGGTTTGATAGATAATTCTTCAGTGCTGATTTTGAGTTCAAATTGGCTGGAAAAATACAACCTTGAAGGTGAAAAATCGAAAAAAACTGATTTTTTACACTTGGCGCAAAAATCAAAGACGAAATTTAATATCTGTAAAAAAAAAAACACCGTAATTTAGAGAGCTGAAATTTAACGCAAAAAGACTATTAGAATTATAAAAAAAAATTATATTATAAATAAAAATTATCGTATATTATTATTATGACGGTCCATGAAAGAGGTTCCTTCCTTTTCAGGGTCACACCCCCGCTTCAAATTGTTACCCCCACCCAATCGTTTGTGGTGATGCCTGAGTTGCACCCAATTGTTGGTACTAATATTGATTTTCGGGTGGGCCGATTTTAAACTTAAACTTAAACTGCTCCAATTGAACGGCAAAAATTCCCAATAATGAAACACCCGGTTGAAGACAGGTTATGCTGCTAGTTCATACATACGATATATCGCTAAAGATGATGGGAAAATGGTGACACCTCTGATATACACCATCTTTACAAGCACCAGATCAAGTCAAAAATAGAGTACTGTTGCCATATCTGGGCTGGAGCTGCTCAGTTTTCAATTCTCAGTCTTGATAGAATCTAAAGGTGCTTACGTGGCCTTATGGGTGATAAATTGTTTTCCAACTTACCACAGACCACAGACCTCTCACTACTCTACAGTGGAAAATGTTCAACCGAGCTACATTGCTTTGTTCCGCCATCTCTAACCCTACCAGCTAAGACTCACCACGCAGCGTACATCGAGGCGGACCACCCTCATACCCTTTATATTCATTAGAGTAAGGAGCAAGTTCCACTGGAATAGTTTCTTCTCAAGATCTGTTACTTTGTGGAACAGAATCCCAGCAGGATGCTTTCCCAATCATTACAATCATAACCTAATCAAGTTTAAAGTTAACAGTTATTTTTCCCACATATCCACATAAACTTCCTCAATTACTATTACCGCTCACACAACAACCGCCTCCAGCCACCCTCTGCTTTGACTTGCCTTTGGGCCTTGTATAGGGCGAATATCAGTTAAAAAATATCTGAGCCTGACGTATAATTTGACTCTGCTTGAAGTGAACATACCCCATGTTATTATAATAATGAATATCTCAAATAATGAGATCGATCGCTAAGAGATATTTTTGTTTTTCTATTTCGATGTTAGATATCTTGAGATGAATCGTTTTGATTTAGAAAGCAGAATTCTTTCTCTCGGGTTGTCACTTCTCAACACAAAGTTTGAACCAATGTACTTTACTGCTCAGACACGGGGAACAATGCAGCAAGCAAGACTATTTTTCCTTTTTATTTTTCCTTAAAAAGGGATACGCAATTATCTTTACTAAGATTTCTCGAATGCACAAACTGATAGATGTAATACACGCAGGTTAATAGGTAAAGATGGCGTGTCTATTTAAAAAACGAATTGTCTACTATAATAACATTTGAAGTTATTTGAAAATGCCAGATTAAATACACACACACTCACACACGCACACACACACACACACACACAAAATACACACACACACACACACATATATATATATATAGACATGTTTCATTAAATAATTTAGATAAGTTTTGTTTACTTATTTTAATAGGATTCTCTCGTAATTACGGACAAGGTTTTTAGTGTTCTTATTAAAGGAAGAAAGAAAATTACCATGTTGATGCATGTTCATTTATTTCGAGTACTTTCGACATTAGCACAATGTCGTCATCAGTGTCTTGTTTTTTGTAAGACATTTTTTTCTTTTTTTAAAAGATATTTGGGCATTTCAATAACTTACCTTTCTTGACGGTTGCACGTGTGTCTACATGATAAAATTTAAAAATTGTACAGAACATAACAACAATTTTGTTTTAGAAAAATGAAGAGCACAACAAATTTTTGTCTTAGAAAAAACAAGATATTTGCAATGGAGTGTAATTAAAAGGCGGGAATAGACCAAATGAACAAGCCAGTCTATTTTATCACCACTTAAGGAATGCAGTACAAAAAAGAAGAAGAAGAAGAAGAAGAAGAAGAAGAAGAAGGAGGAGGAGGAGGAGGAGGAGGAGGAGAAAAAGAAAAAGGGGAAGAAGGAGATGGAAGGGAAGAAGAAGAAGAAAAGGAGAAGAAAATGGAGAAGAAGTGTTATATTTATCTGGGGTTTTTAATTATTATATACATACCAAGTGAATTTTGACGTGATTTTTTTATATGAGGAATTATTATTAAATTATTTAAATGAATTGAAATTCAAATCATTATGCTCATATCTCAGTTGTGATACCCACAAAGTTTCGGCATTCTTTGCTATTTGGAACATCATGCTCATCTTGGTTTTTATACTCACGACATTTCGGATATCTTATTCTCCGGCTTTCTCCAGGTATCCGACTCATTACTCGCTAACCTAATTGGGATTTCGAATCAATCCCATTATTCAATTCCTGGGGTTGATGGGGTTTATTGTTTTTACTCCACTTTTCTATGCTTAGCGGGGTGGGGATATTCTTTATCAGTTAGCACTCACCCGTCTTATTTACCTAAATGTTGCTTTCGTCTTGGGTATGACGATAAACTACATCCGCGTCCTGGGTAAGACGATAAACTACGTCCAACAGCAAGGCCTCTGATCAGGAGGTTTTGAGGAGCGTGGAATCACCTCTTAATTGCTGGTGTTCCCAGGTCCACCCTGACCCGGGGTGGTAACACCTGTTAGGGTCCAAGCTATGGGCAAATAGTTAACCCCGAAACTGATGTAAAAAGCATTATGAAAGTGTAAAACTAAGTTTTAATACCAGAAATACTTTGTAAAAAATTATTACGAAGAATAAATTTTTGAAGAAGAAAAACTATTACCAGCAATACGTTTTTGAAAGAAAATATTACCAGCAATACGTTTTTGAAAGAAAATATTACCAGCAATACATTTTTTAAAATTATATTACCAGCTATCCATTTTTGAGGAAAAAAATATTACCAGAAATAGATTTTTGACAAAACAAAAATATTACCAGGAAAAAAGTTGCCCGCATAAAATGACCCATTGTGGTTGATATGCCGTAAAACAAACTAAACTAAACCAAACTAAGTGTTGCTTGTCCGTTTCATCAACTGAACCAGAGTATATGACTTTGAACCGACCGCTACAACTGCCAAGAAACCCGATAGGCGATAGGTCTCAACCAACGCTTTAATCCACTTTCTTATGTTGATTAAAGATCCAAACACATGAAGAAGACTGCAGGTTCAGCGGCCGAAACGTTGTGAGTGTAAAAACCAAGTTGAAAATGATGGTCCGAATATATATATAATAAATCCCAAGATTTATATATATAAAAAAAAAGGTATTTGTTTCTCTCCCTCGAAGCATTTGTAAAACAGCGACCCCATTACCATGAAAAAGAAAATGGATATCATGGAAATTTCCATATTTGAAGCAGGGTGGGGTGCTAACGTATGACGCTATACAATCCCTTTGAGATTTGTCCAACATTCAGAGCTTGCCATTCGCCAACTGCCAGGATTTTTAACGATGTCGGTCAGTTTGCCATTTCACGATTGTTATTTGATTTCGAAAATTAACAGATCGAATTTCAAGAAACCTCATTTTCTTCTCAAATAACTGCTGACTTATTCCTTCGGGTGCAAATAATACCGACCAAATATCCTGAGGTTTAATAAATGCCGGTTTACAAATTACTCAGTTTTCGCGCCTCAAGTTTCGCTCCGAAAGTAATGCCTCCTGTTTTATTATGTTGTCTCATGAAGTCAGATGCACGCCTTGGCCGTATAGAAGGAGAGTTTCTCTTTCTCTTGTTACAGACAGCAGCTGAGAAACGGTCAGGCAAAATGACTTCTGACATGAAAATGCGTACGAAGCAAAGTTGTGTCATCAAATTAATCCAAGCAGAATAATTGCTCCTGTTGACGCTTGCTGAACGCTTACGGAAACCAAATAATGGATGTGAACAAAATTAGGCGGAGGTTAATGATTTTTTTTCTTATGTTGGTAACTGCGATCTGTGTGACAAGAGATGTTCCTGGTAGACTTGCACAGTTGTTTGCGCACATAATGAAGGTTTTTCTTTGGCAAAAATACGCAGCTAATGGTGGCGATTATGAATAAAAATATTATTTCCTAGATGAAAACTTTCACTAATCAATACTGCTATTCTTCTTTCTGTAATTGCTGCAGCTTATGTAGAAATAAACATATGGCTTTACTTTTTATCAGTCAGTGGAAGCATCCACTCGGGAGCCTGATCAACAAAGTAGCAGTTTTTGGAAAAAAGTTATCTGAGTGAAACTGTCTTCTTACATTTGAAACTCGAGGGTTATGAGGACAACTTGACTCTGTGGAAGTGGCATGATCTGTTCAAGCTGCAATCGCCAGAAATAGTAGAACTAAAGAATGGCGCTCATTTGAACATTTTCCATGTTAACAGTGATAGAAAGGCTTGTGATATCACGTCTGTGAGGAAAGAGGCTGCAGAGTGAATAATAAATCTGCTCCCCCTCCCCACCCAGAGCCCTTAAATGATTTTGAACTCTATCAAGGCTGGAAACTGACGACGGAGCAGCTCTAGCAGAGACATGACAGAAATAATCCTTTTTTTTAAATATAATCTAACTCTTCTAAAGATAAAGCCTGGAATAAAGTCAAGACAATGGATCGTATATCTGAGTTCTACTTGAGGTCTGGAATAAAACTGAAACTCAACCGACGTCCAAAGCCTCACCAACATTGTAACATTTCATCGAGACTGGGAAAAATATTCGGAGCGTTTCGGATGTTTGGAGGCGAGAAAAAAAAAACTGGAAGCAGACGACAATTTTCCGTGGATTCTAAGTGACTTAAACGGGTTTCTAAACAGAAGAGAAAAAAAATAAACGATATAAAATGAGAGAATTTTGGAAACATGGAAACGCGTGAGAAAAAAAAAAGAGAAAAAGAAAGAAAACAGCAAAGGAAATACAATGATACTGTTAAAGATTTTCGAAAAAAATACATTTAAAGATCGAACAAAATGATGCAATGATTAAAAAGTTTAACGTGTGTCGAAACAAACAAATCGAACGAAAAAAGAAAAAGAAAGATGATGGGGAAAAAAAGAAAATAGACAAAATGAAAAAGCAAAAAACGCGCAAAAAGAAGAAAAAGGCTGTTAAATGGGGAAAAAAAGTACAAAAGAAAGGAAGAAAAAAAAATCAAATGAAAGAAAGAAGAAAAAAAAACGGTTTAAATACATTGATTTCTTAATCAGCTAATCTAACTTAGTGTCGGGTCAGAAACTGCACAGACCCCAGATCGAATATCGTCCGTAATTTTGTTAATACTCGGTTGTAAATGTCATATCCAATTGTGCGCCAGCATTGGCCAGCCCATCGTACCGTAAGCACTCTCCTCAATGTTTCTGGACACAGAGCATGCGTGTTTGCGTTTTCAAAAAGTGTTTATTGTTTTGTTTATATTGTTGGCTTTGTGAGTGTGTTACCGAGTTGCAAGTTGTGTACAGTGCGCAATCATTCCTCTTCTCCTCCTGTGACTAACTTTGAAGAAGAAGAAGAAGAAGATATGGTTTGGAGTTTGGACTGTTCTTTGTCTTGCGAGAGCAGTGGATGGCCCGAATTATCACCGTAAATGAACTCCACGTTTTTTTTTTGTTTGTTTTTTTTTGTTGTTTTGGGGGTGGGGGTGGCTGGGGGTGGGGGTTTTTTTTTTTTTTTAATACTTCCAAGTTTTATTTTTATCTTTTCCACGCTTGTCTACACGTTTATTTAAGTTCATGTTATGAGACATAAAAGAAAGAAAAATTCGATACATTATGTCGGAATATATATATATTGATGCATGTTTCATTAAATGATATAGACAAGTTTTGTCTATTTTATGTAAATTCTTTTCATATCGTCTGATAAGCTTAATAATATTATCATTAAAAGACGAAAGAAAATCACCATATTGATACATATTTTTTAATCCTATCTAAGCTTTCGGCTTACATAAGCCATTATCAAAGATGACAATTACATTTCAATATATAAAATAATACATTGACAAAACAATAATGATAGTCTATTTTTGTTTACCACGGCAGAGGTGAATAAAGATTGTTGAGTTAAAGAGAGATAACTGAAACTGATATATCCGGAAAAGGTATGGCACGAGGAACTAGAACAATCTTCTCCGGTGGACGAAATTAAGAGTTCAGTTCGAAATTTCAATCACCTGAAAAAGGCCGGAGCGTACAATGACCGAAGCGTTGTAAATATAATAACAAAGATGAGGACAATAGAACAATGTAAATAATTAGAATACCTTATCTCAGAGATATAGACAGACAATGGCTCATTATCTTTTTGTTTTTTGTACTTTTGTCTCCTTATAAATGGAAAGCTGTCAGCAACTCCAAACTAAATGCATTTTATCAATTATGACTTTTTCTTGCGGGATTTATATTAGAGTTTATTTTTCTAATGGAAATGAAATGCGTAATTCGTTCCAGACATAGGTACAAATTCTGTACCTCACCAAAGTATCACACAAGAAAATACCATTCCATCGCATCTTTGTTGGCTCGATGGAAGAGGAGCAAAATAAAAGCATCCGAAATGAGTACCTATGTCGATGATACAAAAGGTTACAGGTGCACCGCCAAAAATCTAGAAGACCTGGTAGATCATCTGACCTAGCCCAGGTGGCTCTCAGTTGGTTTAGATGACCCGAAGATTACAGTCAAACATGGAACAGAATGTCACCTCTTGGTGTTGTTCTAACTGTCTATATATAAGTTACATAATAGAGAAATTCAAAATTGCCTCATAAGGATAGCTATTTCAACCAAACGTTACTACGTTGGCATTTTTCGACAGATCTTATACGCCCTGTTCTAATAAATACATTGAGCTTTTTTTTTTGTGAATCAGTTTTAATATTTTATATTATTATTTTTATTTTATATTATTAGGATTCACTTGGATTATATACCAACGGATTATTACCTATATATATTAAACATTACTCTTCAAGTAAATTGAATTGAGTTCTCCGAGCTGCTAGCGTATTTCGTATAGTGAAAAACATTAAAATTTCCTTCCCGTGCCCAGAGGTAAGATCAGGGCTTGAGGCAATCGGACGTCTAGACACAGTCTGTCTATGGATCATTATATATATATATATATATATATATATATATATATATATATATATATATATATATATATATATATGTGTGTGTGTGTGTGTGTGTGTGTGTGTGTTATGGGTCCTGACCTCGCATATCGATTTCTACCGCTGTGACTTGGCTTCACACTGTCTTTTCTAGAAATATTTTCATTGCAATTGTTCTGAGCTCTCCTCGATACTTCGATCGCATGAACTTAAGCGCACTACTAGATTGGAAATTAGGTCCCATCGCTTTACTGTTGAAATAGCTTGATATAACCGTAAGTTCTATCCGACTAGCTTCTTATTTTGCACGTCTCATTTATGAAATTCTCTACTGGTTTCCCGCTTCCCTGGCACCTACAATCTTCAAAAAATTAAATGTAACGTCAAACTACCATCTGGTGACTTCTTCAGTCATGTTCTTTTATTGTCCTTTCTAATTACTAAAGTCGTCACATTCTCGTACACTCCCAGTAACTCCTTGCGTCTTAGTGACATTATTGCCTTGCTTGGAGTGAAATTATATGTACTGTGTGCGATATGTCGTTATTTTATATTTTTTAATTTTGCGTATGTGCGTTTTGATTTTCTTGACTGCACGGTATAGTAGAGTCAGTTGGGTACCGTCTGTGAGAAAAGGAGCACCATAACGCAATTCGCTTTGCCAGAAATTTGGAAACAGCATGTTGTACTGTTTGGCATTTGCGCCGGAAGCTCCAATAGAAACATTTCAGAGTATTTGGATGTCAATCTGACAACAGTGCAAACGATTTGGAAAGAGTTGGATGAGTCTAATAGTGATTACGAAGGTGTTTGGAATGATCCCTAGTGATAGATAAACTATGACGTTCAAATCGTGGAGAACATAAGAGAAATCACTCCATTACCTTTTCCAAGATGGTATAACAATTCACAGGTAATAAAGAAAAAGAATCTGATGTTATGATTGTCCATGTCATGAAGGGACATGGCATTTAAAATTAAAAAACCAAGAAAGTTTTTAATATAAAGTAATATATACGGTGTGTCCCTATAGTTTTGGACACGGGCAAAAATTCATATTTTTAAGAAATAAAATTATCAACATTTTATTGAATTGGAATATTAAAAAATAACATCTTCACAGTGATTTCCATCATTTGTGATGCAAAGGTTGATGCACTTGGCAGGATTCACTTGAACTCGATGCAATAATTCTACATTGCCGTCAATTTTAGCACATTCACTCTTCATGCTTCCAGTCAAGTGTGTTGCATCTGTGATTTTCATTGAGTATACCTCCTTTAGCATACCTGAAAATAAGAATCCAGTTCTTTCTTCTGTCGACAAAACCATGTTTGGGGGTAAAAAAAAATATATAGTTAATGAGATTTCCTATCTGTCCAGATTTTAGGGACATTCTGTAGGTCTTCTGTTGTACGGTACGAGGTCCACGCATCGCCTAGAGTTAAGGTGTAACTTCGCTTAATAAGGTACAATAATTAATGGAGGTAGAATTGGGTTGAAAACATTATCTTGTAGTAATCTTAACACTACAGAGAGTAAACTTTCTTTGGGAACCAAAATTTTGCTTCTTACCTGGGGCCGAACGAAGCAACAGTCTCTGCCATCAAGCAGGTCCAAATAAAAGATTAAATTTTGTATTTTTTAAATTAATTTTTTGTTTGATCAGAATGTGATTCTTGTTTGGTTGAGTAACAACTCGATGACTTTCAAGATATGAACAGTAATAGTAATATTAACCGTTTCCTTATAAGGAAACAATCAGCATCCATTGCCTAAGCAGGCATTGCTACTTTCAGTTGAAATTTATAAAGTCTTTCTCTTAAATCAATCTTTCAGGAAAATAGGTTTCTCAAGTTCATTGTCATCTCTCTTTTCAATGTTGATGGGTTTTTTCCTTCCTAACCATTTGTTTGAGACTGCGTGGAACATCAACACTTAAATTATGTTATTATTTACAAGTCCTTGCCATTTTAGTTGTTGGTACTTTTGAAAGCCGTCAAGTGATATGGTTTCTGTTATTTGGCATTTTGTGTGTGTGTGTGTGTGTGTGTGATTCTGTAATGCCGGGCTACAAAGATCGAAAAAGGATGGTTTTTGCTAAGACCTACGGATTTGATTCGCTCAAAGCCATTTCATTTTACCAAGAATGATTTGTTTCTGTCTCAGAAATATCCGTCGCGAGCCTCTTTCAAAGAATGAAGAAAATATATATATTTACCTCTAGGGGAAATGCACGACGACAAACAATGTCGTAAATTGCAACTGGACTATTTCCAGTTAAACAAAGTGAGGAGGAAAAGAAGAAAGAAAAAGGATTAGAGAGAGAAGAGAAAAAGGAAGAGGAAGAAAAGTGAGAAGAATGCGAGAAAGAAGGGAGAACAAGGAAAGAAAAGAGATAGAGAAAAGAAAGCAGCTCGCAAACAAAGAGCGAAGGAAAAGGGGAATTAAAAAGTGAGAGAGAGAGAGAGAGAGAGAGAGAGAGTAGAAAGGAAGATGCTAAAAGAGAGGCTGAAATAAAGAGCAATAGTGAAGACAGAAAGGGCATCTAAGTGAAATAGATTGATTTGTTTAACATCATATCAACTCCTTATTGGTCATTAAATGTTGAAAGTTGTCTTGGGAGGTTTGAGGTAATAAAAATAGGCTATATGTTATTCTGCTTTCACAATTGGATACATGGTAGATTATACTCAGCTTTTGTGCATATTCATGTTTGTGCAGATATAACTACTAGAGGTCGTGATATTTATGTTTTATGTTATAGATTTGTTGAAGTTATATTTTGTACTACAATTTGATTTCTTTAAAAAAAATTATAGGATATTATATGAATTAATGTCACGAAAGTTTTTTTTTTCATGTTGGTTGTTTGGTTGATTGATTCTGTTTAGCGGAATATCGATCTATGTGTGTTATTTAATACCTAAATCTAAATATTTTGAATACAAAAGTATGTTTTTTAGATACATATTTTATACATTATAAAATGTATTGTTGGTTATTCTACTATAAAAATGTATTTTTATATTTTTTTTAGTGATACATTGTCATTTTACTTTAGTCATTTTATTATATAAATATACTGTTGATTTTTGTTTAGGGGTACATTATTTTTCCATAGCTTGGACCCTAATAGGTACTACCACCCCGAGTTTGGGTGGACCTGAGAACAAGAGTAATTAAGAAGTTGCTCCACCCTCCTCAAAACATCCAATCTCCTGATCAGAGGTCTTGTCTAGGAAAGAGAGGAAGATAGGCAATAACAATTAGGTGGGAAAAGAAGGAAGGAAGAGAGAGAGAGAGAGAGGGGGGGAAGGGGACAAAAAGCAAGGACTGAGAGGAAAGGACAATGGTCCTCATAGCAAACAATAGAGAAAAACAGCTGTAAAAAATAAATAAATAAAACAAAACAAAAAAAACATGAGAAAAATTTAGAACAACTTGTGAATTTGTTGATGGCAGTTTTATTGCTTAAGGTCTTGAAATTTTTCAGCCACTGTGCAACACAAATGGAACATTTTCAAAATACCGTCATATTATTTCTTCTCTATCTTTCTGTTTCTCTTAACCAAACGGACAATAGAGGCGGTGGACACTAGCATTTCTTGACATCCTCCGTTCCTGAATGATGAATGGAGAGCTTAACGGTGGACAATAAGAGCACTATAACGGACTACCCTAAATGAACTCTGTCTCTCATCCACACACACATGGGGGAGTGAAACAAGAAAATTAAGTATTTTTCGTTTCCCATATGAAGAGTTGAAATGCAGGTAATTCTTAATATTTATTCAAGTTTACGGAGAGAGAGAAAAAAAAATGAGTAGAATACAGTGTTGCGTCAATCCGGCAACTCTGGAGGCACTATTTACCTCGGAAATCAGCATTCGAAATCTCAGCCTGGATTCGAACGCCAACAAATGACATCAATGACGTGAAATAAGTAAAAAAAAATTATTTAGCAAGAAAAATTATAATGCCTAAATGTGAGAAGGAAGGTTACGTCAATCTTCTAAGGTTTGCCTACCTTGAAAATCAGCATTTGAAATACCGATATCAGTTATCTTGGTTCCAGCAACATGCATCAGTAAATGCATGCCCTGTTTATATGTGTGTATGAGGTCTGATCAAAACGTATCGGGCCTGTTACTATGGTAACGGAGCTAAAATACGCAGGGTGAAGCTGCTTGGCACAGATTGACCCTGAACACTGTCATGCATACACACAAATTTATAACATTCTCACTCTCTTCCATTGTTTATAGCAGTGTTTGGAGGGAAATTGTGGTTGTTGGACCACCCCAGAGATTTCATCAGTTACAATGGGTAGTTCAGCAATTTTTTGACCAAGCAAAATATTCCTCAGTTCTAACAACCACCAAATATTCCATATCTTGCCCGCCTTTGATATTTTCTCTTCTTCAAAAATCAAAACCCTACTTAAAAGGGAACAAAATTTCAAGACGTCAAGGAAATACAAGAGAAGTCAATCGCTGGCTATCCCTCTCCCAGCGCCCTCCCCAAAAGGAATTCCCTTAATGTTTCCAATCAATAGAAACGACGCTGGATAAAGTGCATGGCTTCAGAAGGGGACCACTTTAAGGGAGATTAAATGCTGAATTGATATGGCAATTTACTAAGCGTAGATTAGACATGGCACAAGGACAAAGGTATGGAGCACCCAATGAGGACCGAACTCATTAAATTGATATAGCAAGACAAGCTTGCTAACCATTACACTACATAGAAGTATCCAAGACTGATTTACAAAGCATAGCTTATTTGTGGCACAAGGCCGAGATTAAGGAGCACCCATTGAAGAGCGAACCCACTAGTAATTTATCTAACGAGACAAGCTTGCTAAACTTTAATGATTTTCTAAGTATAACTTAGATGCGGCACAAGGCCAAAAGTGTGGAGCACTCAGTGAGGATCGAACTCACTACAGTGTAATTAATTTAGCATGACAAGCTTGCTAATCATTACATCACATTGAAGTGCCCCAGCTACAGAATTGATATGTGTTGTAATTTTTTTTTTTTTTATAGCACCAGTATGGATACTTTTTGATAAAACCTCATATATAATGTTTGTTTTTTTTTAATTCACAATTTATTTCAATTTGAGCGTTGAAAGTTATGTTTAATCTGCCTGTCAACATTATACTTTAAATATTGACATAACTAATTGCCCTCCAGAACTATCGTCATAAAAATAGGCAGACTATCAACATTTACTAAGCAGAGCTTAGTAAAGCAAGGCCACAAGCATAGGGCACTCAGTGAGTATCAAACTTTAAGTAGTAATGGTTTGATCCACAGCGAGACGCTTCAAATAGACTGGGAGAGTTTGTAAAAGTCAGCGGTTCAGTCTGATCCAAAATAAATTTTGCCAAAATTTTATAGATTTTTAATACTAGCGCTGATGTACGGGAGGTACGAATGGACTGATATCAGCATTTAAAGTGGATTGGGTTTATTTTGTTTTAATTTAATGTGGAATTAGCAACCCAAATCCAAATTTCAATCAAAACAGTTTACACCAACGCCTTACAAAAGGCATGAATCTATTTCCCTGGGTTAAATTTCAGGGTAGAAATTACTCTTTAGCCTTGATTGGCAACCAGTATAGAAGTACAATTAAAAAAAAAAAAACACATGGAGAAGGCAATTGTGGAAACTACTCCATTATCTTTTCTAAGAACTATGGCAGTGCACAGCTTACAGGTATTTAAAATAAAGGAAACTGTGAAGAGCCGTAATCACTTATCTCCTGAAGGGATATGGCACTTATGGAGAAGCAGAAGTATTTCTCTGGTAAAGTATACTTCACTTGTAACTACCAAATATATTGCAGTATGGCAACTGTTATACTTGAATTGAGGACTCCTGCCTTCCCTTATTTGCAAATTTAACATCAAAGTCCTTAATGCATTTTTCCTGGGGTTCAATGCTTTCAGAGTTCCAAATTAAGTTTTGCAACCTTGTTGCTTGTTTTTAGTTACTTTGAGAAACTAAATTAGTTTCACCATTTCAGAACTTGACATCTAAGACATACCTTACTACTTCCACAGTGCCAAATCACCCACATTTCCCCCACCCCTATACGTATTTATTTATAATGAGTACAGACGATCATGGAAGATATATTCATTTATAATTTGTTTCAAGAACATCCAAATATTCATCTCTTTAGACCAAAGTTTTTGTTTAAATAAATGGAATCACTTTGTCCAGAATAAAAGAAAAGGAGAGGAAAAAAAAAAAAAAAAAAAATGTTATATTAAGAGGAATTCCCTTTTCTTTCTGTCTGGACAAATTGATTCCATTTATTTAAAAAAAAAAAAACTAAAAAACAACAACAAACCAGCCAACCAAGCAACAATATGGCCAAATGGCTTTTTAAGGATTGTCTGTACTTATTTTTTATATTGCTCTGTTTCTTACATTGAGCTCTCTTCAGATTAATGTCCTCCTTGGAATTATCCTTATTGAGATATATATATATGGATTGTGGGGGAGATAAGTTTTTGTTATTTCCTGCACTTTATCTTTTGACAAAAGGCAGTGGGACTATATTGATTATAAATTCCAATTTCTCCTAAACATGTCATTTATGTTTTGTGTCAGCTTTAATGGTATAAAAAATCCTTAAATTTTAATTTAATGGTGTGAAAAATCCTTAAATTTTAAATTACTTATGCAAAAAAATAAATAAAAATTAACCAATGCAAGTATAATATTATTTGACTGTCTTGTTTTTTAAAATGGTATGAGCCAAATCAGAAAAATACAACCAAATATTAATATCAATCAAAAATAAAGTGAATTTCTTATTGCAAGAATTTTGTTTGCCTTCAAATACAAGTGAAATGGATTCTGCAAGACATTGGAGAGTACATTCGCAGCACCAACTGATGACTTCAGCTGTCAGGACAAAACTAAAATTAAAAGTTGAAAGAGAAAAAAATAAAATTCTTTCTCAATCCAGGAATTGGAGTAACTCCAGTAATTATTTAATAAATAATAAATTAATTAATGAGCAACCATATTCTTGACTTGAACTTACGATGCATTTTGAATCTCGTTCACTGACCTCCAGTAAAAATCAACACTTCAAAAGAAAGTTACATGCAGCCCCAAAGAGGATAGAACACTGAAGAGTTAAATAAAATAGATATTGATAACCAATGGGTATCAGAGTTGTCACCAAAAAAAAAAAAAAAAAAAAGATTTTTGCTTTAATTTTAAATCTAATTTTCACACCTGAATGGATTTCACCAATGTGTCACCGGGCATATAATGCAGCTCTTTCAGTCTTCTCCCATCTTAGTGCTACATGGAGAGAAAAAAAAAAAAAAAAAAAATTTTTTTTCAAGGTACATGTAGCCTTAACCCATACTTCCCTTTAGCTGTGAACAAAGCCTTCATTTCATTTTTATGTAGCCATTAATTGTGCCGGAGACATCCAAATGTTTGAAGCTACTGAGCAACACTGAAAAACTGAGAAGACTCAAAAAAGCATATGGGGAAAAAAAAAAAGAGAGAGAGAGAGAGAATCAAAAAAGCATATGAAAAAAAAAAAAAAAAAAAAAAGAAAAAAAAAAAGAGAATCAGAGAGCAGGGATATATATGTATTACATAATTGTAGATCATCTTGTTTTTCCTGATTCTTGTGAAATTAGATGGACACATCAAATTAAGTGAATAATGACTACTAGCAAACAAAGTGATTCTCCTCAGCATGAATCTGGAGTAAAACTGAATGTGAAAGCTCAATTTCTAAGTTTGATACAAAATTGATATTCTTTACATCTATCCCAATAAATAAGAGCATTAAATGGGCAGTCTTTCTCAAACTGACAATCCTTTCCTCTGACCATTGTAAATAGTTGCAAGTTTGGCTCAATGATAATTTGTTTTTCTTAAGTGCAAGACTGACCTGATAATAGATAAATTCAATTTTAAACAAAGAAGGATATGTAAAAAGTCATAGCAATTAAAATTGAATTTAAAAAAAAAAAAAAAAAAAAAAAAATGATCCAAGTTTTTTGGTGGGTGGAAAGAAGAGGGTTTCAATTGAAGGCAAGGGTCAAGTAATAAAAAGATATACTTGAGTGATTAGGGTTAGGATCACAGGCTTATAAAAGTTGTTACAAGGAGAAATCAAAAAGAAAATGAACATCAAATTTAAAGAATTCATAGATGCAAGAAGCTTGTAATGTTGTCTATTTCCATAAAAGACATGATTTTTGGTATTCCAGGGTGATTTATAGAATTTAGTAAAATCTGAAGGATGCCCGTGCTGACACAGGTGCTTGTCTAACAAATGTTACTGATGCCTCATCTCATTAATTGCAGAGAATTTGGGGAAATAATCAAT